TCATTGATGGTTACGTTATACTGGAAATATTCGATATCTTTATCTAACTATGTGACGTGACGATGAAATCAAACTAACAGTGAGTTTTAACAAGTTCAAATATTACTCTCTCTTGAACAGCAATAAGAAATAATATTTTTATATAATTCGTTTGTATAACCTTCTCTAATGCAATATTAACACGACAAAAACTGTAATTTGTTTTATTCAATAAATTTATCAAGCTGTTCGTGTCTAAAGAACAAAAAATAGATATCGTTGTTAAGGTATAAATTATCAAAACGGTACTATCTTGACCGGATCATAACATCATTGTCATTCAATATCCATCAGAGATAGCTAGAGAACGTTGGTCTGCAGGTTTATTTTAGAGTAGGAAACTATGCTGACTGACGAACGGAAAGGGAGCGACGTTTTATGACTTTAGAATGTTCAGTTATACTCAAACTCATACAGATTGTTCACGCTCTTCGAATACCCGTCTCTTTGAATTTCTGTCTTCCACTTCAGTTCACTTGTGTTCCTCATCAGTCAAACAGTCTGAGCATTAGAAATGAAAGCGCTTTCACAAACGATATATTGTCATACTAAAAGTTGCGTAAACTTTTAACAGTATTACACGATACACGAAACAGATTTTGCTTAAAAAGAAAATCTGTTTCATATTCCATATCAGTAGTCTCTCGATAAAAACACTTTTTAGCATAAGAAATTCATTTCTTCGACCAAACAATTCCTTAGTTTAAACAGGGAACGCGGTGCTCCATCTTATCCCGCGAGGTAGGTAGACCGGGCAGAGAGTGGGCAATGCGAAAAGTCGTAGTTGAAGCAGAAATAGTTCCCATTTATCTCTCATATCAATATTAGAAAAAAATTGAAATTGCTTAATAAGATGAAAGCACGCAATGCTGCTAGCACGCTGTTAAATGGACAAGTCTTAATTCATATCAACTTGATTCGAAATAAATTTTTCCAGTTAAGACAATAGTGATGTCTGTTGTCTACTTAATCCTTTAAGATCCAACGTCCACTGGGATCGACATTAGTGGATGTTATAGAATTGCTGTAGCAAGGTGACGATGTGTTGGATCATAAGATGAATTTTTTTCCAGTATAAACTGACACTATAAGCTAGCGATCGCTGATAACAAAATTTGTTTCATCAACTCTAAACAAAGGTATATGCCCAAGCAAAAGTGCTCCAGTAAAATATCTAGATGCTTTACCTAGTATATCGGTCGATATTTTTTACTCTTTTATCTAGATGCTATAGGCGAAGCATTGGATTAGCTAGCTGCTTCGCTCGATGTATTGCTCAATATATTTACATGCACCAAGTTAAACTTGACGCGAATGTCAATTTTTGTGGGTAATGTTATCCAGTTGCATCGAGAGAAACATTTATTTGCATCTAAATACATTGGCCAGTAAATTAACCATCGGGATGCATTGGGCGATATTCGATGCTTTTTCCGTGCTTGGGCAATTTTTAAGTTCGGATTACATAATTAGCTGTGGGACGTAAAGGGTCAATGTTCAACTGTCATGGACAATTTGTGTTTATCGATATTTACAAACATCAACATTAATTTATTATGCAAGAACATAAATGAAGGTTTTCAAGATGTCATAAGAGAGATTTTATTATTCATTTACTATTACTCGTATGGCCAAGCTAACTATGAATAAGCATCCGTGCAATTAATTTCTATGGTTTTGTGGATAGTGCAAAGTAGGAGATACGTGAAAATTAGCAGACATCATTATTTTTTCACAAAATAAAAAGCGATGGTAGAACAATACCTTTAACGAATATCTGAGAAAATCAAGGCTTCCTATTCTAATAAGAGAAAAGAGATGTACAAAAAAAGTCGAACAGAAATAAAGAAATCTTTTTCTCTTTTATTCGTTAGAATTATCCATATAGACGTAATAATAGTAGTAATAATAATATAGAGCAAAGACAGAAGTAGAAAAAGTATGAGAGAGATGATCTGATAGAGCACGTAATATAAGAGTATACTAAAAGAGGCTAATAAGGATAAGAGAAAGAAAAGTGTCCTTGTGAAAACATCATCATTTTCCATATATATTCATATTATTCTTGTATTAAACTATATTTTCTACGACTGTCACTAATATGGACCACTCAGCTCTTGCTACTATACCTTTATTACTTGAACGATCTAGTCTACAACAGAGTTGGGGTTTCCGTCTTACAGGTGGTGTTGATTTTCGCTTTGGATTAGCAGTAAAAAAAGTAAGTGATGAATACTTATAGTACTACAGCGAGGGATGATATATCTTACATGATCAGGCACAAGATATTAATATGTTTTATAAATGTTATACATATATTTGATGACAAAGTCTTGACTGAATAAATTGAAACGAATAGTTTGTTGAATGCACTTTTTTTTCTGTTATCATAGTAATAAATCAAATTCAAAATACTACAAGACACTTCTATTTTTAGTCAATCTCTTCCGGAATCAATAGATTCTATTAAAGTGGAAAAATATGTAGTTGAACAAGATATGTAGTGCTTGGCAAGTTGTTTTAAGACAAAAAAACGGCTTTTTTTCTAAAAACGGAATTTACTGAAAAATAGATGTTTAGAACAAGTTTTCATGGCGAAAACAGCCTCAGAGAGTATTAATGAATTCTATAATACCGTAAAAAACAGATATTCCAGTCAGTCTATTAAATCAGTGTAGATCTTGGTTGTAGTACACAATTCTTAAATAATCATCATCTGACTTTAGGTAACACCGAATAGTCCATCACATAATAAAATCTACCCGGGTGATGGTTTAGCGTTTATTGATGGCCACGATACATCGACAATGTCTCACAGTGAAGCGGAAGAATTTATTCGTAATTCATTGAGATTACAATTGGTTGTCAGAAGGTAATTACGTCATTCGGTTATTACATATGGGTACAATAATGTAACGTAGTAAATCATTAGTAGTTTTTCTTTTGCTTCTTTCTGTGTCAAAAAAACAAACGGAAAGAAATCGCCTGTTGTGATTGATTGTGAGAATGACTAAATTAAACTAAGATGGATCAAAGATCAGACATTTTGTGTGATACTAATGACCCGTTTCGAAATATAGTACTTGTCGATGTTTTTTGAATAACTTTTGAAGAGAAGGACCTAGACACTTGCTAGTTTCGCAGTTTGATGGAAGACAGTTGGGGGCACTCAATCTATGGAAAAATATGAATAAAACTATCGACTGCAGATGGTGTACCTCATCACAACGTAAGTCTTAGGTCTCCATCTATCATGGTTCGGGTACTATAGAGTTTTCCAAAAGACCTACCTATCTCAGTCTGGTTAGCTCTGATAACCTTAAAAAAACTCTAGACGTAGATTTTCGACTATGGTGAGTCTCGTGTCATTGTTTGTTTTAGTATAGTGCTTAGTATAGTAAAAACCTATACTAAGCAAAATAAATCCTATTTAAATTAAAAAATTTATAACTCGGTGAAAATCAATCAACACTACTTCAAACCTTCAACATATGCTTCATTTAGGCTACCGTGTATACTCGATTTCAGCAAACGTTTTAGGAGTTGATAGAAAGTGCTTGGTTTTTAAAAGGTTTTCTACAAATCTTTGAAAGTAAGGAAACTCTTTTTCTAATCTTAATTTTTCAGGATTAGATTCAGCAGAGAAAATGGAGTATATGATGAAATTCTAGTGTACTTTTGGATCAATTTTGAGTGAGCTATGAACGGTTCAAGTCGTATAACGACACGTGCTATTTTACAATTAGATTCAGCAACCGTAGTTTTTAACCGTTTTCTTAGGTAGATTAAAATGGTTTTTATAGACGTACTAGAAATTCTCAGGGCTGTTAAACGTTTTTTATTGTAGAAAAGTATTTGCACTAAAAACTTTAGTTGTCAAAAACATTCAACGTATCACCGGAAAAAAAAAATAACGTTAGTTTTGAGTTGCTGTTTTTTCGTATCCAACACACTTGATAACCCAGAAGATTTTCTACTTTTGGCGAAGGATACTTCCAAAAGTTTAGGAAAGAATTTCAAACTAATATTATTTTCCCATGGAAATTATTTTACGCCATTTTGTTTCAAAAGTTGTCCTAAACTTTTGGAAGTATCCTTCGTCAAAAATAGAAAATGTTCTGAGTGTGCTAAATATCAAAAAGCCTGTTTCAGCAACTCAAAAGCAACTTTATTTTTTTGTTCTGATGATATATATATATATATATTATACTCTTTATGCAATCTACTTAGGAAAAATGTTAAAAACTATGGTTCTATAATCGGTGCATTCCTGCTTAGAGTATCGCTGCATGTTTATGTTAAGGATTCAGTTGGACGCAAAATTAAATGAATTCACAAAAAAAGATATATTTGAGCTTGGTGCATATAATTAGCTTTAAAAAGAGAGAGATGAGCTTGATTGTAATAAAATTATATTTTATTTATATACATAGAGAGAGATTTAAGCTCGGAAAATTATTTTAGTTTTAAAAAGATATATTTGAGTTCAGTTATTTTATTTTCTTCTAGTAAAGAGAGAAATGAGCTCGATAATTAATCTATCTCTCGACAATGAATTTTTTGTAGCCGAGTATTAATAAGAAAGAGCTCACAAGAGAGCTCACCAATTTATATTAATTAGAGCCAATCTTAAGAGTAGAAATGCCTAAATATAGATGAGGAAAAATTAAGGAAACAAGATTATGACTTATCGCAAAATAACAGATCTTGACGAATAATAGTTTGGATCTTAACCTTATTGTTTATCCCGTCTCTCTGCAGTAATACGAACATTCTTGTTTATAATTAGATTAAATTAATTATTGAGCTCATTTCTCTCTTTACTAGAAGAAAATAAAATAACCGAGCTCAAATATATCTTCTTAAAGTTAAAATAATTTTTCGAGCTTAAATCTCTCTATGTGTATAAATAAAATATAATTTTATTACAACCAAGCTCATCTCTCTCTTTCTAAAGCCAATTATACACACCGCGCGCTCAATATATCTTTTTTCTAAGCTCATTTATTATTTTATTCTAAATATATGCTAGTGATGATGAGAGTAATCAAAATGATCCGTGTAGGACGGTCATTAATAAATAGCCATCTATTAACCGTTAGTTAACGAGGAGGAAACGACTCGTTAACGGTAATAAGAATAAAAATGACGATTTCATATCGTCAAATAGACGTTTTTAGATCGTTAATTAACGATTAAAAACTAGACGAATAGCCTTCACCGTAAACGGAGAAGCGGTTTTTTAGATACTCGTTAATTAGCCGTCGACGAATCACTTCGATCGAACAAGGATTGTTAACGTATTACCAATATTCTACGATCTTTGAGCGTATTTCCTTTATTCTGTTGTAGAGGTCAATACGCCATGATCCGTCCATCAAAGTCAGCCGTAAAATTCACTCAATCGGGACATAACGTCGTTCCAGCATTATACAATCAACCAAACAACTATCGTCGATTTTGATTCATTAGTTATAGTTATATGAAAATTAAGATTGTTCTTTTGATAACTGGACTGAACGAAAGAAAATTACGTTCTTAAAAGATTTCTTATATAGTCAATATCCATTAGCTGTTCTCAAACCATGAGTTTGAAAGAGCGACTATTCTTATAATAAATGTTTTATAACGAAAGTCGCTTATTATAATAAAAATCAGGACGTCATGGTTCAAAATATGTTTTGCTAAAACTTGGTTGGAAAACTATAATGTTGACATTTAAATTGTTTTTTTGACAAATGCTCCCATCTCATTATGAGAGAGCTGAAAAAGTCGACTTTTTTTTCGCCAGACGGATTGAGCTAAAATTTTGGGTAATGAATAACGACTATTAGTTAAACATTTTCTGAAAGTTTCATTAATGACGTCTCAACGGTTGCGAAGATAGTTACTTTTATAGAAGGCGCTAAGTGAGTAGCGTTTATTCTCGTTGAACATAGCGCTGTTGAACAAAAGTGATTGTTTCAAAGAAGCGACAACGTCTGTCCGGGTTATTCATGATTTAAAGCTGTTTTAGAACATGTTTGCCGAGTTTTCTAGGTTTTCTGAGTAACTGTAGTCCTCTTCTGTTGCTTGGTTACAGAACAGAAATCCTATCAAATGGTAATTCTAGATGATAAAAAACAAAGAGAAGAAAATATAATTCAACTATAGAGATCAAATTTACCGCTTTCAGTCTTCTCCTCTTTTGATCTTACCACTTTTCATTTTCTATATACGCGCTGCAATAGACAATGGGATAAGCTAAGAACAGCGCTAATTTTATATTTTAACCGAAATAGTTCACTCATTTTGTAATGTTCACAAGTTATACAGAGTCATTTATTACGTCTATTTGCGCTGCTCCTCTATTCCAAACGGACTTAAAGTACACAGAAACGAACTTGAAGATCTAACAATTACAGCAAAACAGAAGAAT